CCAGTTTTGTATGCAAAAATAAATCTTTAAAAAAAAACAGCTCTAATATCTTCCCAGACTTTTCTTTCTGAACTTCTATAAATTTCTATCCTTATCACCCTTATTCTCTTAAATAACCATTCTTTCAGATTAAAAAGTATAAACATTTAGTCCACTATTTTTGTTTTGCTGAATAGATAGTATATTCATAGCTTAAAATATTTTTATTGACTATAGGTTTCTTTTTATATAATATTTTGCTATATTCATGTGGAGTTTTGTATATTATGCCTGAAACTTCAGATACTTTTCCTTGGGAAGTGTTTTCATTTTATAGATAAACTTTTGAAACTTACTTATCTATAAATTGACACTACTTTTTCTAAAATATTTTCCATTAAGGTGATTAAAATAAATGATTTTAATATTACTTGTAGTAAACTTTCCATCTATGTTATAATCTGTTCTGGTCTTAACAATAATTGAGTTAGTTTAATTTAAAACCAGTATTTTTCATTTGATTTTATAATTGTCTTGGGTACGTACAGTACCCTTAATTTGACTAAGATGTGAAATTCATAAGCAGACAATCAGTGAAATTTCCCAAAGCAATGTGATGAAGGGCTTCAGAGCCCTCTCCAAGACCCCTCCCTGCCCCAGCAGCCATACCTTATTCTCTATAGCTTCCTAGATTTGACTTTTTTTCTAGGTAAGAACATATGTAACCCTCAGAAAGTACTATCATTTAAATAGGCAAGACCAAATGTCCTTTTACACATTGTTTTAACTTTCTTATTGTCATGTCGATGATAGAAGAAATCTTTTTTCTATTGAGAAAATAGTCTTTTTTTGAGATTTATTAAAAATAGTCACTTGTTTTCATTGTTTTTGATAGGCATTACTTTATTCCCTTTTATTTTCTCCTCATCCCTGTTTTAAGTACCTAATTATAAGTCTATCTCCTCTTTTTGTTTTGGAGGTAAAAATTCATATTCCATAACATTGCCCATGTTAAAGGAACTGTCAGTAGGATTATTACTTCTGCTACGACCACATTTGTTGAGTTCTGACATTTTCATTGCCACCAAATTAGTCCCTCTACCTATTAAACAGTCCTTCTTTACTTCAGCATTTTTTTATTTGAAATTGAGAAACAAACAAAAAAAATTACAAATTTGAGGTTGTTGAGCTGTTCTAAGAGTAGATTTAGAATATACTGTTTCACCTTCAGTAACATGAAATATATTTGGCATATTGATGTGGAAAAATTAGAACACACAAATACTCTGTGTGTATATTTACAGCTATAAGGAGGAAAAGAACATATGGAAACACATTGAAGTACCAGTAATTTTGCATGACTTTCTTTGTTTACAGGAGTTGCAAATCTTCCATAGTTATAAATAAACTATGGAACTAGAAACTTAAAAACTAACCTTAATATGCAACATGATTATTTCAGAGTAATATTAAACTCAATTCCTACACTCACTGCATTACAATATTTCATTTTTTTAAATTCGTATTTCTAAAAGATTTGAAAGATCAAAACTGCAATACTCAGTTTCCCAGTTCTCTAGATCATATTTGAAAGCATGAATACGTGTTCAAATAAGCTCTGCTCTAATTTATTTTCTTTCCAAAAATATACCTTTTCCCCCCCAAACTATAAAAACATCATATTCGGCCCTCCCTGGTGGCGCAGCGGGTTGGAGAGCTGCACTGCAAAGCTAAACCAAGCTGTGGCTGCTTCAGTGTGAGTTCCATCACAGCCCCTTCCGCCACCCCAGCCCCAGAGGTGATCCACCTGGTGCAGCAGACCTCTCCTGTCCGGCCTGCTGCTGTCCTCAGCAGTTTACTTTGTCAATCTGCCTGTTCTGCTTACCTCTCTGCTTCTAGTGAATCCTCCTGCTGCCCCTGCACCTCTGGCTGTACCCCATTTCTGTATGCATAAATAAATAAAATCTTTAAGACAAAATCAGCATATTCTTGTGATAAACCAAATACTACAAGGGTGTACAAATACAATCAACAGTCTTCTCTTAGGTTCCTATGTAAAATAATTGTTGGCAATAGGCTAGCAAGTATTCTTTCCCGTCCTTTCTGTCTTTGATACATGTATAACAAAATTCAAAATTGGACCCTTTGAGTAAAAACTGAAATGTCTTCAGGATGGATGGACTTGGCAGTTAATATGAAAATATGAATGTGTAAATATATGGCCCATGGGTAACTGGGAAGGGATTTTTTTTTTTTTTTTTTTTTTTTTTTTTACCATTCAAAGCTTTCAAATTCAGAAGTAGTTGAAAGGCCCTCCTGGTTTGATCCCCCGCCAGGGAGTTGACCCACATGGCGTAGCAGACCTCTGCTGTCTTGCCCACTGCTCCCCTCAGCAGTGTACTTCGTCACTCTGCCTGTTCTGCTCCCCCTACTCTGTCTCTGGTGAACCTCTCACTACCCCTGCATCTCTGGCCTATGCTCCAGTTCTGTATGCGTAAATAAATAAATCTTAAAAAAAAAAAAAAGTAGTTGGACACCTGTGCTGGGCAGCATATCACTGTGATCTCTCATTCTGTCACCTCTGTTCTGAAACAGATATATAGAATGAACATATGTTGAAGGCTTTTCCAGTTCTTTAATGAGGGATCAGTATAGGAAAGCTGATTCCAAGCCTTTGAGTAATTGAATATCGGTAGACATTGAAGGAAGAGCATTGAAACAAATTGCTAGACTAGATAGAAAATTGGTCAATATTGTACAAGGTGGTAAAACCATAACCTGTGTTTGCTGGATGGGAAATATCTCTACCAAAGAAAAATCTACAAACTCACCAGTAAATTATTATTATTATTATTATTTTTAATTTTTAAAATTTTATAAGTTTATTTTTACATATTTTTGTACATTTTTCCATCTCAGTTGCATCACCGAATCACCCATGTGCCATCACCATAGTCCAGTGCATTTCCCTCCCCCCACTGTTTTTGATCCCATTCCCCACTCCACCCCCACAAAATGTCTCTGGTATATAGCTGTTCATCATTATCATTATTTTCTCACCTGTTCCGTTATATTCCTGCTATGAGAGTAACCATCTGATATTTTTCCTTTCTGGCTTATTTCACTAAGCATGATATTTTCTAGCTCCATACATGTTGCTGCAAAAGACATGTGTTTCTTTTTTTGATTGCTGAGTAACATTCCATTGTGTATATGTACCACATCTTTTTAATCCAGTCATCCATTTTTGGGCATTTGGGCTGTTTCCATGTCTTTCCAGTTGTGAATAAAGCAGCAGTAAACATGGGGGTGCAGGTGTCTTTTTGAATCAATGTCTTTGTGTCTTTGGATAGATACCTAAGATACCTAAGAGTGGCATTGCTGGGTCATATGGAAGCTCCATTTTTAGCAGTTAGAGGAACCTCCAAACAGTTTTCCATAGTGGTTGTACTCATTTGCATTCCCACCAGCAGTGCAGGAGAGTTCCTTTTTCTTCATATCCTTGCCAACATTTGTTGTTGTTAATTGTTTTAAGATGTGCCATTCTCACTACTCACCAGTAATTTTATAGAATTTGGTTCCTGATGAGTAGTGAGAATTAGGTGAAATAGTGGCACTGTAATTAAGTATTATGGAATAATAAGCAGGGTTTCATGACATATAGGAAGGATTTACATTTCTTGATTCAATTTATTTTCAGTTTTTGGTGAATTATTCTTAATAGTGAGTCAGTTTCTTTGATTGTTAGGGCAAGAACAGTGTAGTAGGGACCAGATCTTGGAAGAACTTTGTACTGTACACTAAGAAATTTAAACTTTCCTTGCATAAATGTTTGTTGGGCACCTACTATATGCCAGGGAGAAGGCTTATATTTCTGAGTGTATGGTGGTTCTTCCATCCTGTGCTCTTTGGAGGTTGGCTAATAGTTCTAAGGGACCTTTGAAGCTACTTTTCTCAAAACACATGTTCTTTGTCCTTCTGGTTCTACCCTAATGCAGATATGTCTGCCTGAGTAAAGCGTGTTTTGAGAGATTTCCAGGTGATTACTTTTAATCCTTTCCCTTTTGAAAATCACTGTTGTGTGTAATGGGCTTTTTTTTTTCTATTTGAATGAATGGATAGTAAGCAAAATTATAATCAATATTTTAAAAATTTTCTAGACCCCTCTGGGCTCCCTGATCCTTTAATACTTAATCTAAAATAACTAATGTCTAAAATAACTAATCTAAAATAACTAATGTCCTTATTATACCCTTAGCAACAATTGTATGCTTTTGTCATATTTAGAATCGTTTTATACAAGTGATAAATTAAGTTGGGAAAAAGTGGGTTTGGCGTCGTATTGTTTCCTTAGGTTAAATAAACTGAAATGGTTGTCATATTTGTAATATGTGATCTGCATGGCAAACACATGTGATTAAAAAAACTAACTTGGCCCCTTCCTGGTGGTGCAGCAGGTTAAAGCAGAACACTATGAAGCTATCTGCAGCCACTACAGTATGAGTTCAATCCCCAGCCGGGGACATGGTGTGGCAGACCTCTCCTGTCTTGCCTGCTGCTCCCCTCAGCAGTGTACTTCGTTGATCTGCCTGTTCTGCTCCCCAGTGCGTCTCATGAATCCTCTCCCCGCCCCTCCGCACCTCTGGCCTATACCCCAGTTCTTGTGTGCATAAATTTGAAAATGTTTTTCATGAGAAAATAGACTTGTAGTCTGTGGTAAAAAGTAAGGTGATATAGGGGAAAAGTGTATATATGTTTAACATGTGGTTAAACTATTTAGTTCAGTGATTAAAATGAACCTCTGTTGTGGACATGCATTTAAATTCTTTTCAGTATAACTTTAATTAGGGAGCCATTTTGTGTAAATGCACTCATAAAGCAGAAATTTGTGATTTCAGCACACCTAAGCAGCCATGGCATTTATAACTTAATGATAGCATATGTATGGTATTACTGATTAAGGGAGAAATTGGGAAATAACATGATACAATTGGTATACTGTCTATTTTTCTTTTTATTAGTGTGCCGGTCCAACAAAAGCCCCTGGGTCTGTTTGACTTGTTCAAGTGTCCACTGTGGAAGGTAGGTGACATACTTATTACATCATTACTTTACTTGCTTTTTTCAATTTGATTTTTAAGCTTTACGTCAAAGTTTTATTGGTTTGGATTTACTTAGCACCATGGCTTACCATATTGTATAGTTGCAGTCTCTGTAGTCTCTCAGAAAGCCTTCATTCATTCAGTGGTTCAACAGAAAATATAGGGGGCAAAATTCTTTATATCAACATTCAGACTTTTAATGATCAAGACTAGCTACTCGATTGAAAAGATGAAATAAGGGAGCTTTGTAATTTTAAAATGAAAAGTATTCTTTTTAATTCTTCATAAGGTTAAGTTTAAGTATACACAAAATTAGAGAATATAAGGAACTGCATGTTTTTGTAGTTCATTTATGTAACTTCAGCAGTTATCAGTACATTCTTGTTTCACTTGTTACCTATGCCATCCCTACATTTAGTGGCTTGAATCAAATCCCAGATAACACATCATTCTTCTAAAAACAAAACAAAATTATTAAAATATTGACTGATAAAGAAATTTCCTTGAAAGAAGTGCCACTGTGGAATTTATTATTAATTGCTGTCTAAGTTAATGTCAGATGTTTCCTTGCTCCATTAAGACTTTTTGCTTTCTGTCCTCCCTGGTGGCACAATGGGTTAGGATGCAGCACTGCAAGCTAGTGCAGCTGCTTCAGTGCAAGTTCAATCCCTTGGCGCAGCAGACCTCTCCTGACCTGCCCGCTGCTCCCCTCAGCAGTGTACTTCGTTCATCTGCCTGTTCTGCTCCCCACTTTGCTTCTGGTGAATCTTATCACCGCCCCTGTACCACTGGCCTGTACCCCAGTTCTGTATGCATAAATAAATCTTAAAAAAAAAAAAAAGACTTTTTGCTTTTAAGGGTCTTAACTACCCCACCCTCCATCCCCACCACCATCCCAACTCAAATGTGAGCATATCAACCTTTGTGGCATTTTTTTTTTAAACTAAGGTAGTAGCACATTTATTTCTATTGCTCTTTCAACAGAAAAGTCATGTTGAACTCACTTTAGAAGCATAGAGCTAGGAAATCATACTAAGTCACACAGGCTGAAATCTACATTGTATTTATTAGAACTACTTCCCCATTGTTGATTTTAAACCTAATTGCATGAAGAGAACATCTTTGTTCAGTTAATTTTTGATTCTTCACATTTTAAGTGCTGGAATTGAGTATTTTTTCCATGTACACTTAAGAGTACCCTTTGGAAAATGTTAACTGCTTATCTTAATTGTGGCTGTTGTGGTTTTGAAATCTCTAGGATTTGGGGAACCTGAAAATACTTTGTACAGATAACAATTTTTTTTTAAAGAAGAAAAGTAGAAGCACTTAAATTCGGCATTTGAAGAGACAGATTCCTCTCCTAGATTTTGAGAGGTGAGAATTATAATGCAATGAAATTTGTATAGTTCTTTTCCCTATTTGTCTCATAGTGCTCTACAACCTAAAGTCATAGGCTAACAAAAGACCTCACCAACTCTCAAAAATTAGAGAGAATATTGTTCTTAATATTGCACAACAAACAACTCTTTAATTTTTTGAAAAATAAACTGAAAAATTTCTAGATGCTGCCTGCAATCTATTTTCTTTGGTGAGCAATCCTAAATGTAGAAATTTGATATACTTTCAGAGGAATATGATTAAACAGATTAAATAGATAATGAGAGTAACCTGCATTTAGACCTTCATCTTATGTAGCTGATTGGTTAATGATTCCTTATTATGTAATCCTGGATGTTGACTGCCAAGTATTCTGATTTTCCAGTAATTTTAGATCACTTATCTGCTGAGAAGTCTTGAGTGGAATTTTCTTTAAACTAGAAAACATAATTTGTCAGTATTATATTCTAGTTAAATATTCTATTGGTCTTTATGACACTAATCCCACTTAAAGATTTAAGGTTTTTTTTTTTTAAGTTTGAGATTATTGTTAAATATCTGTGACATACATATTGAAATTTTTTTAGATCAAATTATCTGGTTAAAATCTAAAACTAGGTAAGATAAATACTTATTTTCATGCTACCTATAACTGTATTAGACAGTTTTATATGTAACTCTTAGCTCCTGACTTACACATTTAAATTATTAGTGAAAGGCTGCTAATCTTAACGTCAACTGGAGTATATTTCTTACTTTATTACTGGCATTTACAGAAAAAACTTAAACATCTAGTGCATTTGGAGACTATGGTGTGCTAACAAAATTGACTACATGTACTATCTACAGATGATCACTTTTCAAAGACTTAAAATGGTAATGGCTTTATTGTTCAAATTGCTTTTTCTTTGATCCTGAGCTCATTATAAACATACTGTTGCTTTCTACTGCACATCAGTGGGAAATTGAACTAGAGATTGAATTATGTAATATCTTAAAGTTTAACTTTTCAGTTGAATATTAGGTGTTTCTTGTCCTACCATGTGTTATCTTGAATATGTACTTAGTATGATAACTTTCTAAGCAATTATGATGTTTAGAAGCTTAATTAACTTAGCATATAACAAAACATAAAAACAGAATAATTACTGACATGCATTCATTTATCCATGCAACCTGAACTATAGATTATTTAATTCAATCATCCAGCAACCCCATAAGGTATAAGGACTGTTATCTCCATTTTACAGATAAGAAAACAAGAATAGTGAAGTTACGTAACTCACACAAGATCACATGAATAGGTTGTGGGAGTCTTTTGAACCTGGGCAATCTCCTTTTGAGCTTATATTCTTTTATTTTGAAATTTATTAACAGTCCGCTTTTGTGGACCATGTACATATAATTCCTACTATGTCTACTAAAGTGAAAAAATGGAGGAGGGATACATAATCAGATTCTGAGTTGAGGTTAGCAGTGTCTCAGGTGCTTCCAAGTTCCCTAGGGATGGAGACTGGGCTTGATGTTGATTCTCTCTACTTAGAACTTTCCTACTTTCCCAAGTTGTGTTGCCGCTGCAGAGTACAGCTAAGGTGCCTTATGACAAAAACTGTAAACTCTGAGCATGTTAGTTAGTACCACTTAACCAACATTTGTTTTGAATATTCCTGGTTTTCAGTTCAGCATTGCCTTCTATCAGTTGACTGCTTTCTAGGATTTCTTCTGTAAGGGTCTTCACAGTTGTGTTCAGTTATAGCATTGTGAAGGTATAGATGATTTGGGGTGCTCACTTGTGCGTATGAATCCTTATTTCAGTTTCATTTTCCTCTCCCTAATTCAGTGATTTACTAAATCTGAGTTGGAAAGTGTTACAAAGTTTTTGTGAATATATAGTCAGCCTTTGATTATCTTTGTTCATATAGAGAAATAAGTTTATATAAGTGGAAGATGATTTATATTTTGTTTGGATCACTTCTAAACAAATGATTTTCCTTATGTGTGGAGCTTGTTTTTCAGGCATTCAAATAAAAAGTCTAAAGTATGTTGATGAAGAAGAGATAGAAGATCATCCTGTTTTTCCATATCTGCTCTCCTGTTTTACATTAAGCAACAACCCAAGCAGAACCTGTAGTCCTTTGGGAAGTGGTTGAGTAGTTTAATTTACAAAGCTTGTGTTTAATGGCCTGGGTTGGGCATTAGCAGACTGAGTTTAAAAAAGGAAAAAAACTGGAGGGCCTCCCTGGTGACCCTGGTTTAGTCTCAGCACTATGAAGCACCAATTCAATTCCTGGCCAGGGAGCTAACCCACAGAGCACAGCAGGCCTATCCTGTCTTGCCCACTGCTCCCCTCATCTGACCTGCCTGTTTTGCTCCCCACTCTGTTACATCCTCTCACCATCTTCCTTTTCCTCCTACTCTGCCTATACCCCATCTCTTGTATCCATAGATAAATAAATCTTTTTTAAAAAAGAAAAACGTTAATAACTGATAGTCAGCCGTCTTGAAGCTGATTTGCATAGATAATGCCTTTTCTTGCCTGCCCCTAGGCTTTTATATAATTAAACTTGACTGTCATATTTGATTGCAAAAAAGAAACATATTTTAAGTATTCAGCTTAATAAATCACTAAAGGATTGAATGCTCTTGTAAAGGAGGAATTCTTCTTCATTCTGATTTCATTAAGATCTAATTTTATCACCTACTTTAACTTCCAAAGAGATAAATTTTCATTTGTTTTTTTTAAGGTATGTGAATGGCCATGCAAAAAAACATTATGAAGATGCACAGATACCCTTAACCAACCATAAGAAATCTGAAAAGCAGGATAAAGCTCAGCACACAGTTTGTATGGATTGTAGTAGCTACAGTACATTCTGGTAAGTTCATGTTTTCTGGAAATTACATTCCTTACTATGTGTGTATATTTTCTCATTTTTTTCACTCTTTCCCCTTGCCAGCCCTCTTTCCTGCCCTTCCCCCAATATCTAAGTCAGTTACCTCTAACTCTATTTCCTTGTAGTTCATAGGGGTCATAGGGAATTGGAGCCATCAGAAATAGCCTGCCCTTATTCATTCAAATTTTTATTTTATGTTGTTCCTTTCAACTTGTAGGCCTCTTCTTTTCTACCTCCTTTTCCTTGTCCATTCCATTAAACTTTAATGAAATGAAAAGTATATCTATTTCCTTATTATTCATTATAATTCATATTCTTTATTTTTTTAAAAAAGCATTTGACAGTATTTATTGTAATATAATTAGTAATAAAATCAGTTAATAAAATACTTAATTTCCTCTGGATAGTTAAACTTCCCATTTGTCAATTCAGAGGAAGGCAGAAGGGAGCTTGGGGAACAAGGGTAGAAAAAGGCTACTTTATATAGCCTTCAGGTACTCCAAGGCCTAACCCAAGACTCTTTTGGTCTCTACCACAAAAAGGCCCTTTTAGTACCTTCTCTACCACTTCATCGCATACCTAAGACCTGGGAGCAATGCAGGCAGTATTGAGAGATGGTGCTACATCTCCTGACTGGAGGCTGGGAGTAATGTTGAGGTCCAGTTAATCTTCTAAGATTATAACCTTAGCAAATGCATTGCTGGTATTTAGGAAAATAGCAAATTTTAATATAGAGTTCTCGTTTTACACTTCACTTTACAATGCTATTGCATGGGGGGCAGAAAGGGCAGTGGAAGGTGAGAAAGTTGCTTCCCTCTACTAGCCAGTGCAGGGGAGATAGCAAAGGTGGTGGAGTAGGAGACCAGGGCAAGAACCTGGCAGCCTTGTCTTTAGCTGACCATGAAACCCTCCCTTTACCCTGGGTTCACCAGGCAGCCCTGGCCTGCGCCCAGAGTGGTCTTTCATGCTTAGGGCTGTGGGAGAATTTCCTCCTACTCTGTTCCCTTTCATCCAACTACTGTCAAAATGTCCCTTAGTGCAGTTAAACCACAGCACTAAGAAGCAAAAGCCACTTCAGCATGAGTTCAATCCCTGCCCTGGGGGTGACTCACATGGCGCAGCAGACCTCTCCTGACCCACCTGCTGCTCCCCTCAGCAGTGTACTGTGTCAGTTGGCCTGTTCTGCTCCCCACTCTGTCTCTGGTGAATCCTCTCACTGCCCCTGCACCTCTGGCCTGTTCCCCAGTTTTGTATGCATAAATAAATCTTTAAAAAAAATGTCCAGGGCCCTCCCTGGTGGCGCAGTGGGTTAAAGCACAGCACTGAGAAGCTAAAGCCACTTCCGCATGAGTTTGATTCTCGCCTGCCCCAGAGGTGACCACATGGCATGGCAGACCTCTCCTGACCCGCCCGCTGCTCCCCTCAGCAGTGTACTTCGTAGATCTGCCTGTTCTGTTCCCCACTCTGTCTCTGGTGAAGCCTCTCACTGCCCCTGAGCCTCTGGCCTGTACCCCAGTTCTGTATGAACAAGTAAATCTTTAAAAAAAAAAATGTCCAGACCTGAACTAATTGTTGCCCAAGAGACTGTAGTGAGGAGAACAGTCCCCAAATATGTGTAGATTAAGCATGAGCAGAAATCTAAGGCTTAGAAAAAGGGGAAAGGGCAAGAGTCCTTTGGGATGTGCAGAACAGACATCTCAAGGTCTCATGGGAAGGGGGAGACGTCTCAGTAGGTTCAAATTTTATGTTCATTATAATAAATTAATCAGAAACTTTCATAAAACAAACATACTCCCAGCCACATTAAGAATAAAGTAGAGGTGGGAGGCTGGGGAACCAAATAAAGAGAAAGCAGCTTTCTGGTGTGTGTTGTAATATTCCAGCCTCATAAACCCAGTGGCTCTGTGTTCAAATTTGAGACTCAAGAGCATCTAGTTTTCTGCATGGTCTGAGATCTGATTATTAAATCTAGTTCTTCAGTTGGTGCTGTATGACAATCATGATTTCATGTAGAGACTTACAGTACTCTACTTAATCCAGCAGAAAACACAGGCTGGTAGTTCCTGGAAGCTTGCCAAAGAGGTGGAAGCACTGAAGGATGGCAGCAGGGAGGCATGATATGATGCCTTGAAACATGTTGAACTTGACTTGGCGGTAGACTTCACAAGTGACCTTGTCATGGGAATTGTACTGCTGTGCCTTCACAATCTGCTTACAGTACTTTACTGATCTGTAGGCCCTTCTTGTCTTTGTTTAGTGTGAACACTCCTCTTCCTGCTTTTTCTTCTTGTGCAAAAACTGGGTATGGTCAATGGTCTACTGAGGAATGGTGTGTTTTGTTGAGGTTCTGGAGTCACTGTTCTGTTTTAATGGGAAGATATTTTAAAAATTCATTTTTTATAATTTGTTTCTGCCATATAGTTAACATTTTGTTATATAATCTTAAAAATTTTAACTTCTTTGTTTAACATTTTGGCAGTCTACTCTTCTCTACAGATGAATGTCAAGAATTCTGTGTTGTCTTTCAGGCTTGCTTTCTCTCCTGTTTTTTAAGTGTCATATCTTTACCAGGAGACTGGAGGTCATGTTTTCTTTTTGTAGCATCATAAATGCCTATTTCATATAAATGGCAATAAATAGGTATCTATTTTTGCCACTACTCAGAGTTAGGTAACTTAGGTTACAAGTGATGTTTCACAGTTCCTATTTATTTGGTATGCTCAGAAAGTAATTTGAACATCAGTGTAAAGTAATTTTCTTTCCTTGACAGTAAATTATAAGTAATTATTTACTTGTTTTAATCAGTTTACTCTCAATTCAAAAGACTTTTGACATTGAAGGGAAGAAAACCCCTAAGCTACTGCAAGGATCCTTTTGGAGATATTTTTTCCTGCCTTACAGCCTTTGAATGTTGTACTTGAAGGCAGTACTAGACCAGGAGGGCGATTTAAATTTAGTCCAGATAGCACTTTTGATTCACACTCTGGTGAGGTTATGTGCTCATCTTTCTACATCTTCCTTTGTTGATAATTGTACTGAAGAAAGATATCTGTCAAAAGGAAGAAAGAAAGGTTAGTGGCTTTCCAAGTCTTTAAAATTGTTACAGATTTGACATTATTAAATTGTGGCTATTGAATCTTAAGGTTTACTCATTCCTATCACTTTCAGTGATCCTTTGTTTGAATGATACGGAGTTCTGGAAGAGAAACAAGCTACAGTCAGATGAAGGTTTCAGTAAAAATGAAAATCTTCCCAAGATTTTCACACAAGGGCTAGTATTCAATTTATTGTTACTTGCTCATGTAAAACCCTCCTTCTTTGAAAGTAAGCATTAGCCAGACTGTTAAAATGTTCTCATTAGCCCCTCCCCCCACACTTTCATGCTAGAATGATACAGCTACTTAACTGACAGAATCATGTTTTTGTAAGATGGTAAGAATCATTCTCTAGATAGAAGAAATGAAGGAAGGTCATTCTTGAATTATTGATCTTATATTCATAAATGTACCAGCTGTTGAGGGCATTCCTTTTTTATTTTCAGTTAGCAATATGCATGAAATGCTTATTTGGGAAGTTTAGAAATATAATTAAATCGTTGTATATTTAAGTTTATTTAAATATGGAAGGAATAGTAAAAGTAGATTACTAGAGTTTTTTCTGTCTGGCATGGTAATGTTTTAAAACACTCCTTCAAAAAAGTAGTATAAAGTATGAATCAGTTTATTTGTCTGGAATAAGACTTCTGTTTCAAGCTTTAACAAATAGCAGGGCTTTAAAAAAAGTAAATAGTTTGTTTTTATATCATTTTGTGCATTTATCTCAGTTGTAATGCCTGTGGGCTTCCCATCACCAAATCACCCATGTGCCATCACCATAGTCCAGTGCATTTCCCTCCCCCCACTGTTTTTGATCCCATTTCCACTTCATCCCCATAAAATGTCTCTGATATATAGCTGTTCACTATTATGATTATTTTATCACTTCTTGGTCCGTTATACTCCTGCTATGAGTGAAACCATTTGGTATTTTCCCTTTTCTTTCTGGCTTATTTCACTGAGCATGATCCCTTCCAGCTCCATCCATGTTGCTGCAAAAGGCATGTGTTTATTTTTTTTTTTTGGTTGCTGAGTAATATTCCATTGTGTATATGTATCACATCTTTTTGACCCAGTCATCCACTTTTGGGCACTTGGGTTGATTCCATGTCTTTTCAATTGTAAATAAAACAGCAATAAACATGGGGGTGCAGGTATCTTTTGAATCAGTGATTTTGTGTCTTTTGGGTAGATACCTAGGAGTGGGATTACAGGGTCATAGGGAAGCTCCATTTTTAGCAGTTTGAGGAACCTCCAAACATTTTTCCATAGTGGTCGTACTCGTTTGCATTCCCACCAGCAGTACAGGATAGTTCCTTTTTCTCCACATCCTCGCCAACAACAAACAGCAGTTTTAATTAAAAAACTTTTTGTGGACTTAAATTGATACTGCATTTTTTTTAGAGGAAGTTGTGATTAAAAATATAAAAGAGGAAAACCTTTTGTTGATTATCCTTTTAAACTCTTGGAACACAGATTTCAGTACTATGAAGATTAAGAGAACAGGAATAGCTTCATTTGTTTAAACAGTAGGAATGGAAAGAACCTTAGACTTTCATATTGGGTATGACATCAGAGCCATACAATGTTGTGGCAATTGAGCAATTAAAAATGGCTGGAGTGGGACTAAGTAATGTAATGTTCTATTTTGATTAATATACATTTAAATTACCATGCATGACTGGTTGCTACTACAGTGGACAATGCAGCCTCATGCTATTAAAATTTAACATTTAGTTTATCAATGTTATGCTCTTTCAAAAAGTTAAAAACTAATAGGAATTCAAAAAGAAATGTTAATTTCACTAAAATATTTGTAAGAAAATTATACAGCAAATCTAACCCAGTAAGATTACCAAAAAAACTTTTTTTTACTAAGTTAATTTT